CTAGCAGTCATTTCTCCTGGCCAACTTCTGCCCGGGAAGAATTACTACTGTAATAATAAGACACTTTTCCCGAGACGGAAAGTCCCATGCTAACAGCAGAAGTTGGTAAAAGCATGGGAAAGTGGCTGGTAGAGTGTACATCTGGCCCGAGCACAACGCCATGTTTCATACAGGGGAACCTATGCTTGTGGTGTGGCATGCGTGTACGGTATGGCATGTGGCGAATATTTCCCGTAAACCTTTTCCTCTTTTGTTGGCAATCGTGGCCGAAATTGTTGTTGACGCTGTTGGAAGATTAACTGGTGTCAAGAGTGCACCATTTCCAGACGGTAACGAGGACGATAAGGTGTCTAAGGATGAAAATAAATGCTGAGCATCCTCATCAAGTCATTGCATTGCCAGCTCAGTTACTTTACCCATGCCTCGGTAAAATTTTCCTGTGTCGAAAGTCTTAAGTGGTCACATTTGACCATTTTTTAAAATTTGACCATCAGCTCGGTAAAACACATGGGAAAAAAAGTCCAGTGTGAACATGGCTCAACACACATGTATGCCCACATGTACATGTACAATGTATGCACATGAAACTCACGTACATGTATGCCCACATGTACATACATGTGCATGAAAGTCAACACCTGTGGAGCTGACCTGTGCATGTACACGTACACGTATTACTGATGTACAGTAGATGTCAAATGCTCTGTCTGCATGTCGGGAATCTCTGGTTGCCCTGCGCCCAGGATTTGATTGATGATTAAATGGTACGCAAACCGAACCAGAACAACATGTGCCAGTCTAGGTTTATTTGGACAATCCTTTTGCTTATTTTCTGGCATCGGGTTTGTCCAACTCTGCAGAAGCCGCTGCCGGAAATAACTGTTGTATGTGTGGCATGGGGGTCTGGCACAATTGTGCATCCCGGGGTGGGAAGGGCACGCATGCTCTGGTACCAGTATTTATGGAAATATTGGCCGTGTATTTTTCATTAATGTTTGATAAAGTTTGCTGTACATGGGCGTGCAGTGCAGCATGCATCATGCGTGATTTCTACCAGCACATTGCAACAGTGTAAATTTCATTGAGGTGGCAAAGTGGAGCACCCTTTTTTTATTGAGTGATCCATCATCATGTCACCCATGAATCCTATCGTCATTTGTGCCAGTCCAATGTACACAGCGTCCTGTATCTTACAAGCACATGTACTTTATACATAGCGGTACGATGCAGTTGTGAGGACTAAACACAGTTTGAATGATAGTTAGTGTGGGGACCCAAAAAACAAAGCTACATGTACACCTGTACATGTAGGGGCAGTTATGGATGCCTTTACTCTTTATACGGTTGCGTCTCAAGCTCGTATAACTTGCACAATGTTACATGCAGTTCCTATGCACGGTCTCTACTCTCACCTACGGTAACATGAACATGTCCAGATACATGTAGGCCTACCGGTACCTCTAAAACAGCATTGCAAATGTTGCAATGCGATGCATACACATGTACATGGGTTGTATGCACAAGGTGTACATGTACGTGATGTGCATGTACATGTACGTACACGTACACAAGTACCGGTACATGTACTAGGAGTTACATGTGTAATTACTTCAGCTGCATTGTAATATGTACATGTACATGTATGCACAGTAATCAGTGCAGAGTTGCTCTCTGGATACAACCATTATACCAGTACATGCTGTTCTCACTATCATGCTGGTGTGCAGCTGCTATGGTGCCTTGATTAATGGGAAAACTTAATGATGCATTCAAGGTATGATTGGGCTTTTGTGTTTCATATCGATTGTTCGTGCTGGTAGCATCTGACCAAAAGAAAGAAAACACCAGTGATCCAATAAAGCCAAGGAGTCTTTATTAAATAGATGTTAATTCACTTTGGTGATTGACTGGCCCTATGCAGTCTAATTGGTGCACCCACTGGCCCTGAGGGTGATTTGAATGGAATTTGATTGCACTGTGCAGTACATGAGGTACAAGTGTGCAACATGCATATACGGTGTGTGTCGACAGTCCATAAATATTCATAATCCCAACAATTATAAGATTTTGTATCTCTTAGTTGTATGTGTCCATCGTGTGTGCTGTGTACATGTAACCGTTCGCTGGTATTTTGGGGATTAATTTTTAATAAAATCTGATACCCTGATTTGTCTGATTGCACATAAACATAACATTTCCAATTCCCCTGACTAAAAACGCTGTTGCTATACCTCGTGATTCGGGGCAAGCTCTTGCACGGCGACTACCGTCTGCGGAATGGGCTAGTTCCTTTGTGTCCTTTTTTGTCCATTGAAAACAGTGTATTGATATAAGGCGTCTCTTATGTAACTAAGCAAAAGCTTGCCCCAAATATGAGGTATAGCAACAGAGTCTTTAGTATGAAGAATTCAAATTGCTATGTTCACATGAATTTAAAGAACTCAGTGTACCAGATTTTATTCAAATTTAACTTGCAAAAGGCTTAGCGGTATTACATGTACTTGTGCTGGTGGGTTTTTATTTAGGATTAAGCAGCTTTTATGATTGTTGTGGATTTTCCTTCAAGGGGAGTGAATTTTCCTTCCCAGGGGAGTGTGTGCACGGTGGAAGGGGAGGAATAACAGGGCGTATTCAGGAAGGTTTCTGGGAAGGAAGTGTCGGGCCCCTTGGATTTGTTGGACTGTTACAGACAGGCAGACATTTTAATTTTTTGGGGGGGGGTACCTAAGAAGTTTTTTTTTCTAAGTTACCCACCCTACCTCCCCTCCACACTTCCAGATCTGCACTTCAGTAATTCATGTCCAATACTTAGCTTTTGGCCAAAGAAATTTTTTTTGCACTGTGTCTATTATGACACAGTTTTAGACTTAAGGCAAATGTTACACTAAAAGGTCTGGTAACTTGATAATGCGTACATTCGAATGCGTCTTTGTCTAAGAAAAGCTTGAATGTGTGTTGCCTGGTTGGCGGCATTTGCATTAATCCAAACTGTTTATTTGCCCTGCTAAGGTCTGCGTGGCGTGATGTCTTCCCACTGACAACCATTGCTCATCTGTCTAAATCACTGCCGATCCCAATTGTCATAACACTCATGTTAACGGGCTGGTTTATTTGGGTAGCTGCCCTCGTCATACGAAAAACTTTCGCAGCCAGCCAAACAACACATACGTGTACATTCAGTCCCCCCCACCTAAACAGTCCTACTCACACTTGATACGTGTGTAGGCGTGGCTTACATTGTCATGAATCAAAAACAGGGGATAGTCAGTGTTCAGAGCAGCAGCTGGCCTGTGTCTGAACATCAATTAGACTAATTTCACACTGAACCAATTATTTGCTTGTGAAAATAAACATGAAAGGGAGACAAACCATTTTGTTCATGTACGACAGTAACATCCCCCCCAAAAAAAGAAGAGTGAATGATATGTCACGGGTTCAGTGACCACTTGTACATGTACGTAAGCTGCCTGAGTACATGTTCATGTGTGCACGGACCATTTGATGTGTGGGTGTGTGGCAGCATGAGTCCATTGTCTTGTTGCCATGTCTCAATGACCCAAGTGACGACATTGTTCGGTAACCGTGGACGCCCGAGAATCATTAGTGGAGTGATCAAGTTAGGTGAGAGTGAATCAGTCAATCAGGAATCGCTCTTTGCCCTAATTGCAGCAAAATATGTTCCGGGATAGAATGTGCAAACTGTCTAGGACAATGCAGTCTGTCCCCCTGGGCTCTAGTTCTGCGGAAGACGTATATGTAAAAGGAAAAAAAAAAAGAAAGGGGAAAAAGTGTTTTGAAGAGTCGACTTTTCAAGTTCCTGTTTTCCGCAGGAGGTTGGGCGCCGGACTCAACAACAGCTGTTATTATTGCCATTGGCAGTGTCGGATCTGGTTAAGATCGCGCTGTTATTTTCCTGTCCGTAATCACTAGCACACACCCTAGCATATAAGTTCCACCTCTTTAAAGTTGGGAAATTGCAGTATGACTTAAATACTAGCGTGTCTATTACAGAAAGAAGACTCCTGCCCTCCAGTAAAACGTTTTAAGTGTAAGGCAGCTGCAGGGATTTTTCTTACATACAATTTTGCTGCAATTTCGTGCTTTTCCTTACTGTATTTGGCATCCCACTTAGATGAAATGTGCTGCAAAGTGCACTTTTTGAAACACCTAAAATTATCCATGCTTTCTTGGACGAATCGAGGACCATGCTGTTCGTTTGATGTCATCCCCTGAAGACATGGTGCAGTGCATAGGGTTCAATTCGCTGTTTGAACAGAATTGAGAGGGTGGTTTACATGCTTATATCAGTGGTATGTATACACTACATTGAATCACAAAACAAAAACATTTAGGCCAGCAAATCTTTAAAAAAGAGGGGTTTTTTGGTACATACAGGTAAATCTGTGTGTGAGGTTTTCTTCCTGGGATGACATCACAGTTTGCACTTGGGTTTGGAAATACATGTACAGTACTAAGCATTAAATTCCAAAAGGCAGAAAAGCATGCTTGAAAATTGTGAAATAAGCGTTGAAAATGAGGATAACTCAGGTTGTTTTTGGAACTGGGTACGGCACATAGAGCTGAAAATTTAGCATCAGGTACCGCACATGTAGTAGCGTGCCCAACAGAGGGTCTTGATAAAGAAAGAAAGAATTGCCTTTTGAGCTTGCTAGCTCTCACTTTCTCAAAGGTTGTCTACCTTCCGCAAAGTTTCTTCAGAGCCATGTAGAATCATATTTTATCACAAATCAGCAATACAATGTTCGTCCTGCGGTTGCAGTGTGCATACATGTGTTGTAGATTTTTCCCTCTAACCTCCAGAAAACTTACACTTTGGACGTAACAAAAGGCATGCTTCAAGGAAAGTTTCGGGAATGTTTGCCGTGTTACTACGGCGCCAGTGACATCTGTCTTGGGATTTTTGTTGAGGTGTTTTGACCAGCTCTTCTGTTCGTGCTTGCTTGGTTAACGAAAAATGTCAACGTCATTCTCCCCCCCAGGTATGGCGGTTGGTGCACCTTGAACTCTCCACCGCAGATTGAAATTGCCAACTACCTCTGGCCCATAATAGGAAGGTAGGCAGATTCCGTAATTAAAAATATTCAGATTGAGTTTGCAAGAATAGATTGAAGTGTTCTGTGCACTTTTTCTCTCCGGCACAATGTAGAAAAAAATGTCTTCTGATAGCAATCAGTGAAAATCTTCTGTTATGTGTTTTCAGATGGGTGATGCAATTTTTCTCAATATTGAAGGAAATTTTCCATGAGAAAATTGAAATTCCTGTTCTACCAAGGGGAAGCAAGTCCCAGTGGCAGGGAAACCTCGTTAGTAGGGAAACCTCATCAGTAATGTTTTAAATTATGGAAATGATAAGTTGCGATGCTAGGGATGGTAGATTTCTGCAGGATTCCAATTCTTGAACTTGGGCCTTCTGCATCCGCATGCTTCTTTCATTCATCTGTCAGTCACAGTTGAATTTGTTGGTAGTGACATTGAGCCAAAGCCATCTACATGTAGACCCTTCAAAAGCTGTCAGCAATTTTCGGAAGATTTTACAGGACTGGGTAAAGTAGAGCCCAGCTCGTGTCAATGCCAAACTTAGACTGAATTCATCTTTCTCAGTAGCCATTTGTAAAATGCTTGAGAACAAAGGCCCTTGCTAAAAAGGCAGTAATGTCGGTCAAATTACCTAAATTTGTAAAAGAAAACAAGTCTCTAATGACCAAATTAGGTAAAAGAAATGTACAGTTATACGAACAAAGATATTCCTCCTTAGGGTTTAGAACTTGTTATAAATTGACTGTCAAAATGATTAATTGATATACATACATGTTTTTCTGTTTAGTTTTTGTCATTATCACCAACCAACAGCTGTAAACTGCCAAGAACAGGAAGGGATTATAAACATGAAATATACATTAAACAACAATTTAAAAAAAATGCATGTACCGATATCCCGGTTGAAGTATCTTTATCGAGGAATCAAAACTTACAGAGTGGTTCAAGTGATGCTGTAGTGTAATCGTTATCATAGTTTCCAGCCTTTCTTAAAAACAAAATGAGTGACTGCCAAACAGGGAAGTCTCAAATGAGAAATTGATCAGTTCTGGAAAGCCCTAACCCTGGAAACTGTTGTAACTATGACAAAGCGGCAATACATGCCCAGCTGCTGTGCGATGGGGTGCCGTTGCAATGAATCATTTATGGTTGCTGTCACCTGTAGCATCCTCTCCGGAGGACAACGGGACGCGGAGGAGGATTTTTTTTTTCGTCCCATACAAGCCAGCCGGGAATGACCAGAGAGAGAAACAGGGATTGGGCAAATCTGAAATTGACTCCTCAATAATTGAGTGTGACAAACGAGGCCTTTTCTGTGCTTCGGGGCATTCTGTTGAAAGACCAACTCTCAGGCCTACGATTAATGTGGGGCTCTGCAGATGTGTATGAAGGGGAGGGAGGGACATATTGATGCACCCCTCCCCCCAAAAAAACCTGTGATCCCTTTATAGCTCCACTTAGATTTGGGAAAAGATAAATATTGAATACATGTACATGTACACTGTAAAAAAAAAAATTGAAGACCCCCACATGTACATGGCTGTACGTGTAACTTCCTGCCTGCCAATTGGACCGCAGTCGTTCTTCTTTTTTGACATGACCAGAGTTCCGACACACGATCCCATTTTGGCGCACAGACAAGCAAGTCAGGACATCATTGACTGATTAATGAGGGAAATGTCAAATCCAGATGACCATGCACACTTTCTATCACCTGACTGAGCAATATTATTAAACGGGGGTGATTGCGGAGAAATGTTGACGAAGTTGTTGTTACTGTGGAGGTTGTTATTGTGGGAAGGGGAGTATTAAAGGAAGGCAGGGCAGCAATTGTGGTTTGGGTTGGAGTAGTGAAAACAGCAATGAGAAATGAAGTTTTCTGCAGCCATGTGCCGTGGACGGTACCGCCATGTGGTGTTTGGGACACATCATTGGATAAATAGTGGCATTGAATGGTGGCATGTACTGTACCGCTACATTCGTGCATGTCCATGTATACATTAGGTGATTTGACATGGGTCTGTATATTAAAGATACATGCACATGTACATGTACCATATGCACCTTGTGCTACTTGGTGTGATGTGGAGTTTTTAAAGTGTGTGTGCTGTCCAACACTACATTTTTCACCAGGCCCTCTGTGGCAGCCCACAGCAGCCGTGGCATTTTAATTTGACTGCAGCCGACAGTAACAAATAAGTCTGTTTCAGAACATTTGCCCAAAAAAAAAGACATGCCAAACTTACAAATGGAATGGAAAAAACTGTTGGACCCTGGCAGGAGGCTTACGTGCTGAAACATCTGCTCAGTAAGTTACAAAATAAACTTGTGACATGGGGGACAGGAGAACAACAGTTGAAGAAATATTTCATGGAGTTTGCTCGTGTTTCCATTCTCCACTCTTCAGCCTTCAAGAAATAATCCCTTGTGCGCTAAGATGAGTAACAGTGGATGTCTCCTTCCTCTGAATTTGCGCGTTAACAAGATGACAAGTGCTCCAATCAATAAAAGATGAATCCAATCTCAATTGGGGATCTTCTTTTCCCGACCTCCTTCCAGCTCAAAACTTACGTGTACGTGTGCATGTAAGTACACTCTGTGAGAACATGCATCTTTCAGAACCCGAGGTGACTGCAAAATTGTGTCATCAATAATGGAATGTGACGCAGGCTCGCGCAGATTGTGAACGGCAGTCTCGGTGCAGGAAATACGGCAATCGTCTGTGGAAAAAGAAATTAATGTTGCATAAAGATAATATTTATGTTGGAATCTTCCGACTCTACATGTACATCCCAGTGTTAAAAGTTTTTTTTGCAGGAGAGAGCGGTCCATGAAAGTGAACTTTGCAATGCATCTGAGATCCTTATCAAATTCGTTAGTTGGAGAGGCTCTCAATCAGGAAAGTGCCTCTCTCGCTCTCCGATGGAGAGGTCTGAATGGGACCCTAGACAGCCAGCAGATGGCTTGTACTAAACCAATTCCTTATTTTCACCAGAACTGCGCCGGACCCAGCAACATATTTTCATGCGATTCACATTACACCACAAGGATTATGGGTAACTGCTGTAAACTACTAGGGTATTTGTTAATGTTACATATATTTATGCATAATATATTTATGCATATACATGTATCTTATTTATTTCAGTTTGTTCAACTTTTTTTTGGGGGGGAGCATTTGTCAGTCATTCACAGGATGTTTCCCTCATGGTTTATTCATTGTAGAGGTGTAGACTTTCCCCATACTCATCTGCTTTGGTGTTTATTGAATAGGAAATCCAATCTTTCCGGAATTTCTGCATGATTTGCTGGCCACGCTACAAGCAGAATATCCAACTTGCTCCCGGTCTGCACATTAAGCTTGTACGGGCGATGTTGGATTTGCCATTGCAGCACTTGCGCGTTTTCCAAGTCATTAACCTCCACCCGTTTGTCTGGCCTACAGTGGTCGTTGTCGTGTTGTCAAGAGTGGACAAATAGTACCCCGGCCGCCTTGATATCACTCTCGAGTGTAGTTTGGGCCATCCCTGCCCCCCCTCGGAGCCCATCAGGCACACCGCTGTGAAATATTTGCCTGGTTGGCGGAGACACATAGGCTGGACTAGAGCCTGTTAGAATTCCCATGAGTTGCATGTTGCGGTCACCCAGACACTGCATGTGTGAGCACACTGCGCGCGACTGTCTGGTCAAATTGTTCAACTCTCACTTCCTGTTTGTGTTAACATTTCCTGACTTTGAATGTACATGCACTGGTAAATGTACCGTGATGCATTCATGCTCTTAAGTGGTAGAAATTTAGTAGCCGTGCATGTGTGTATGTTCAAATATACGCGTATAAAAAGATTAGCTTTTTAGAAGTGGATCTGACAGCGTCGCATTATCTGCATAAAATTCCCGATTGGTTGTTGCCAGTAAAAATGAAATAAAAGCCTTGTTTTGTGTGTCCAAATACAACTACTTTGTGTCAAAAAGGGAAAAGATTGCATTGAAAAAATCCGGACTAATGAGCCTATCCTGAATTGTGCATGCAATTAAGATGTTCTTTCTTATAGAGGTTTAAAATTACTTTGTTATTCCACAAGATGCTTGTGAGCTTTTAGACATGTTTTTAAGCTGCCGTCAGCATATCTGTGATGAGAGGGACAAGCCCACAGGTACATTTACATTGGTTACCCAAAGAAGTCTGATGATTTGTCATTGCAAATCTGCTTCAAGCAAACTTCCTGTATCAGATTTATGCCCTCTTGCAAATGCAAGGGCACCCTCAAAGTGAAAACCAGGAATTTTTAAACTATATTTACATGTAGCTGTCCAACCGGAACTGCCTTTGTTGTTGTAAGGATTTTTAAAATCTTTTTTCTTTTCCTGCCATCATTCCAAACTCTACACAGTGTTAAAACTTTGTTTGATTTTTAATTTTTTTTCACATTAGGGTTTCTGAGAGTTCTTGCAGAGCAGAGCTAGTGGAAGCCTACTGTGCCTACCATTACAACACCAGTGGGGGATGTATACCGCCATCATTTATAGACAAGCCCAAAGTAAGTGTTTTGTATTATTCCAACAGACTGGTGGCCTGATAAGAAGCTGATTATCAGTAACTTTATGTGTTTGGGGTCTGGTATCCTGCTCCTTTCAAGATTTTCTTTTCCATTTTTTTCATGTTGTTTTTCTACATTCTGAAAACAAATCAAGGAACAGACATCACCAGACTAAGACTGAGATTTAACACCTTCATAGAGCGGTTGCTACATGTTTTCCTTTCCCAACCAGTTTAAAAGTGTTTTCTTGGACAGAAAAATAAATGAGCTTACAAAATGTTTTTCTGAAAGCCTGAAAAAAATAATGCCACAAATTTAAGTGAAAAGTGCATTTGAATTGTAATGAATTGTGCAGGTTACATGTACCCCCATATTTGACATTATACGTGTACCAAGGGTACTTGAAGGTTACGTAGACAAGACAGTAAAGTTTTATGACAATATGCCATATTTTGTAGGTACCAATGCACTGACAAACCTCTTGACAATAGCAGCAGCAACATGTGGCTACGCTGGGGAAATTCAAGTTTATAAGATGGATGACGTAACAACAGCAACATACCGCGCAATTATTTGACATGGCACTTTAGCATGTAGGCATTTGAAAAAAGGAAAGTGGGCCTCGTGAGATGTGGAAAATATTTTTACATTTATGGACGGTTGTTTTTCCAGAGACACAACTTGTCAAAAAGAGTGTCCGTGCTGTCGACTACAAGTGAACTACTCCATTATCTACTAAGTATTAGAGACAGGAGTAGCCCAAAGATGTAGGTCAGCAATGTGGAAAAGGCATCAATCGCAGGCTAGCCCCCATTTGGCATCCTCACTTGCAGATTGCGAAGTCAATCTCTCCCTCACCCCCTTCTTCCAATACAGCTTGGGGAGAGAGTGTGCTGATTGCAAAACTCGAGAGAAGTTATGGGGTCAGATGCCAGTGTTGTAACAAGTCACTAAATCTGGTGACTCGAGTTGAGTCAAGTCACCAAAAATTGTTGCTCGAGTCGGACACAAGTTATTACAACTCTGATAGATACATGTACATGTATGTACATGTAAGATGTTTCCTTGGCTGTTTGACATTTCCAAAGTGGGGGCGGGGAGGGGAAACTACATGTAAATGCAAATGCCCAGCTGGAAGTTTGGGGTTCCCGTGGGATTCTTACATAAACCACCACCAGGCAGGACTCACTGCTTTGGAGCATTTTTTTTTTTTTCTTTTGCCATTTGTAAATTTTGGAGCGTAGGCGTGCGCAGAGGGAGAGTTTGTTAATCAACTATGGAGGCTTGTTTGTTCCCTTGTCATTTCTTCTGGGGGGGAGGGGTACTCGATGTTGCAAACACTCCACAGATTACTGGCTTTGTGTGTTGGCTAGCCATCATTATTGAGAAGGGAGTAGAGCGTAACTGAACAAGAGCCTTGGGACTCTATAGTGAGGGGGAAAGTTTGGGGTTCTTTTTTTCTTGTATTCCAATGGAAATTTTCACAGGAATCTTCTCGGGTAATTACCTTTCTTTTGAGTTCATTTATTATGACCCACCCGGTATCTTTTTAGAGAGGGCTGGACTTAAATGTAAATGTAGGTCCCCTCTGTTTCTCAGGGGTGTGAGAATTCAGCTTTTTAGCTGATTTCAGCTTTTTTGGTTTAGATGTTGATGTTGAATTTCAGCTTTTTTGTACAACTGGTCTGCACAACAGTATTGGAAGTTTTAACATTTCAGCTTTAGCTGGCTGTTTTCAGCTTTTATTTTAACTGGCCACTCACACCCCTGGTTTCTGAAATAAGCATACACGGTGTAAACATACTGGGGTACTGGTATCACTAGTTACCATTTGAAAAGAAAACCAAAGAGCCAGCTCCAGGGTTTTGTGTTGGCTCTGTGCAGTTGAAACTTGACCTCAAAAGGGGGAAAACTTTTCACACTTTTCCGCTCCAGAATAATGAATATTCATTTCAATCACAATTTGTGAGAAATTTTTCCCTCAGTGGGAAAATTTTCTCACAGCTGTTTTTCACAAGCGGGACAAAGTTTTCACAGCTGCTTCTCAAGACTGGGCATGCTCTCAAATTTAAATGGTAAAATGGGATCGAAGAGGGCTCTTTCTGCATCGGTGTCACTGATGTGTACACTACATTATGTACATAAGAGATCCCAAAATGAAGGGTTATTGTCCATATTGAATTATACATCTAGAATAACAGCAAAGTGTATCGATGGGATATGGGTTTCATCCGTCAATTTTCAGGGGATCTTGGATGAAAATGGAGTCTTTGCTGGGGCTCTGAGAACGGTTTCCCTGGGGAGCAGTCTGTCAGACGTGGTGCGCCATCTACGCTTCCCTGTAATCTTGGCAATTTCCCTTGAATCTGACAATTAAATCCCCTCTGTCCACAGTTTTGTTTGCTGGGGATACACATTTGGCCATTAAGCGGCCATGGAGACAAATCCTGAATGCAAACATTGATTCTTTCCAGAAAGATACCTTTCCTTTTTCTTTTTTTTAATTTTTGTGTTTGGTTTGTCATGTTTTTGCATACTGTGGGAAAGTCTTGGCCAAAGAAAAAAAATCAAAGATTTGAAGCAAGAAGCAAAGTCTCATGGGTTGAGAAAGCTAGGAGATTTTAGAAGGATCTGGTCGGTATGCAATCAGCCAGACTGGAGATTGGATCCGCTGCATAGAGCCGAGTTACAGCTGGGAGTTACAGGGAAGACAGTTTGCCTGGATCAGTAAACTTGCTTGGAAGAGGATTTGGCTGGGTTGGTACAAGGTAGAATTGGGCAAGAAAACCTTGGGAGTGTGTAAAGGTCCTCATACCATAGATGTACCTGTACATGTGTGTGCATATACATGTATGTAATTCCAGCAATTTTGGGTCCATTTTGTTTTGGTGTCCCTATCAGATCTGACATATGGTTTTGTAAGTTCAGAACACATTTTCTAATTTCCAAGAGTTATTAATTAATGCAAATTATTTGCCAAACAAATATGAATAGTTTGAAATCAACTCCGGTGATATTTCCAAGTCAAATAAGACTACAGGATATATAAAAGATAATAGAAACATGATAATTACATTAAAACAAGTCATCTTCCAGTTCTTTAGTGATGAAATAGCCGGGAAGATTAAAGATATCCATGTACATGCGTCAAGGCACATAACATCTCTACGCATGCAGACGGAATTTAAAAGCCGAAGGTCGTCACAATCTTACAGAAGGACACCTTACCTTTTTCCTCTCTCTTGCTATCCGCGCGAGGATTTGAGGTTATAAATTTGTACCCAAACTAGTGTCACAACAAGGGGCAAGGTATTGGTTCTGCCTGAGATCACACCTCGCCATCTGATAATTGCATCTGTACTGGTTGGCACTGAGGAGTGGGATATTAACGGTACAAGTGCGCATATTAAAATTTAAAGGAAGACATTAATCTGGAACCCTGACGCAAAATTATAAGTCCAAACAACGCTCACTGAATATAGACTCTGCCACTGAGTGTAGAGAAAGAAAAACTCAACATTGTTTCAAGTGGTGTAGACTTTCCTTCTTTGTAAAAAACTGACCAGTCAGTGAAATTAAAATTTTGGCCCTTTTGTTTTTCTGTTTTCGTCTGGAGGACGGGCACACCTTAAAACCAGGCGACATGCCGTTCAGCTTCAGAGCCATTCCCAAGACAGGCAGCCGGCCAGACATGAGCGAACACGAGAAAGGTGAGTCCAAACTTAAAGGGATAACCAGAGGGGGCCTGTAAAGTTCCAGTCGGCACCGAGAGATTGAATATCGTCTGTGCCCGCAGCCGGGATGGAAAGGGAGGGGGAGGAGCTCAAGCCCAGAAACTGCTGAAGGGGTCTGGCACAGAGCTATACAGGTGGCGCAAGTGAAGCGAAGGGATTTTGCCAAGCACATCGGTAGTCAATGATGCAAACTGTTACCAAAATGTCAGGGTGTTTATTGACGCTGGTCATCGCAGTACTGTTAATCTCGTATTGATGGCAGGCCGATTTACTTTCTTCCCTGTGCCCCTTGGATGGTGACTACTGCACAGTAGCCTGCATGGTCTGCTCCTTGCAGCTTTGTAACTGTGGCGGGCAATATCTAATGCTGTTCAAAAACGTGACAAAAAGAGAGACCTTACACGTGTACAGTAGGTGCGTAATAGACTCTACACAAGACCAAACTAGTACCAGACGATTGTTATCCCAACTTTAATTAATGTGCTAACTTCTGTGAAGAAATCTCACCAAGGTGTGTGCATTTTCTTGGTTAAGGTTTCTTTCAGATACTTTTATCTACATGTACCGCTTTCTTGCCGTAAAACAAGCTCAGAAAGAAAGGAAGAAAATCAGAATACATCAATAGACGGAAGTCCAGAATGGAGTTTTAGATTTGAAATTTCTTAAATTTGCTTGGATTTGCTGCAAACTTTGTTGTAACCCTTGTATTGGGTATTTAGATTAGGTAATTGATTAGGTACACTGTAATTGATTAGGTAGTGATTAGGTAATTGACTAGGTAATTGATTATATAATTGATTAGGTAATGGCTAGGTAATTGATCAGGTATTTGATTAGGTAATTATATAATGTATATTCAATGTGCTTGTTGGCTTATTCCATGGAGCCTCTGTACACGTAGCTGCTTGTTCAACAATTGATTTTCCAAGAAACATCCGTACACTACCTTGATTAAAATTTTATTAGTGACCCAGTAATGTCTTCCTAAATGTCAACTCTGCTCGCCCATCAAAAAGGTTTGAATTTTTTTTTCTCATGAGATGAGTACGTGTACATGTAGCTAGGTGTGGTTGTAAAGTGAATGGGTTTTTTCTTTGAAAGAGTGGTCGTATTAAAATATGCCAACATTAAGGTAATCCTCAAATTGATCGAGTCTGTCAGCCAGTTCAGCCCTTCATCCCACTCTGATTACCACTTCAGTCAGAAAATAAAATTAGAATCTGGAAATGCTATCTGTAATCTTGTCCTGTGACAGTCCCTCACCAAACGTTAATTCCCCAAGTATTCTCCTGGGAATTATCCAAGATTCCCCCAGCTCCTTCCCTTCTGCACACAGAACTATGTAATCTTGCCTTATAGGGACTCTTTTGTAGTGTTGAACAGGAAAGATTGTGAAGAGTGATAAGTTTTGTGGGAAATCATTGCTGACAAGATGCATCATGAGAGCATTTTTAATCAGTCATCTTTTCCCCAAGCATAGTTTTTGGTTTACAGGATTAAGTAGGATCAAGTTGTCTCCAAGAGGAAGTGAGAGGTTTGGTATTTTACATATGCAGGCCTCTTATTTCTATCTCAAATAATGTTGATTTATCATTTCCCATTTGGAATTCCATTTCGTGTATTAGAGTCTACAGTTATCAGTAATTACCGTGAAGGTTCCAGAGAGGAAGTTGGTACAAAGAAGACTCAGTTAATGCATTGCTTGAATCTTCAGATTAAAAAAGATTTCCCTCAGTGGGCCCGTCCACTTGTCCACAAACAATTTCCTGAAAATTCCAAGCTGGTACGAGACTTTGGAATAACGTACATGTACCGATGCATGCACCTCTGCTACAACCGAAATGGACCGGAGTTCCCAAGGCAAATGCAGGGGTTTTCTAGTGAAGTAATCAGCAGATGTGTGTTTGTTCCAGTTTGGCCGCGTGATTTTTATTGACTACGCGTAATTTTTGACCCACATGTACATGTAATCAAATCCAGAGTCCTTGTCATAAGGATGTGAAATTGAGTGGTGAATCAAAACAAAGGGTTCAGTTTGCTGTCTCTACTGCAAACTAACTACATGTAACTTGGGAGAATGCAAGGAGAATGATTGAAGATTGATTTTGTTGGATTCAACCAGAATAGTGCCCACTATTTACATTGGCAGGTTCTAAAACTTATGTTAGAAGCTAATTCCACAGTCAGGTGGACCCTAAACAGATACCATTAGAGCCTGCATGAAGCTGTATATGTACATGTAATCAAATAGACAGAATTCTTAGCGAGCTCGTGAGGTTAAGATAAACTGTTATAGAAGAAATAATATCAAATACCTGTAATATAAAACCCCAGAATCAATTCCTTATAAAACAACAGGACGCTGAAGAACCTGTGTAAACAACATGTCAGTTATCCCTTCTGTTAGTTCTAATGTAAGTTTTTTCTTCTTGGTGATGGTTTTGGAAAGTCTGTTTGCATATATGGAAGGCTCAGTTTCAGTATCCACTTCAGTGCTTACCTTTCTGTTTTGAAAACTTCTCAAAGATAAGAAAAAAACCAGTGTACATATAGATTGACCATGTTTACATTTATCTGTTAAATTTGGTGTTGGGAGTCGGGTTTCTTGATAAAAATCGGTCGTTGGGGCAAAACCTGTCTTCGGGTATTGCATTCCACACAAGTGTTTGCTGTGAATATCTGCATGTGTGTAACCCTAGCGGTTCTTGGGGTCTTAGATTATACAGGCCCACCTGCCAGTGTACACAGGCTACGTCCTAAATTACACTGTACTGACTGCGGCTGACACAGATGTACGTGCTGGGGTACGTGTCCATGGAAAGTTGCAGCACTACTGGCTAGTGGATTCCTTGTGCCCCCATGTGACTGCCTGCCGCTGCCAAAACCTTCAGACGCCGCCGCAGGTACAGTATGGCCACGACGAAGACTGCTCAAAAGCGGTCTCCTGCTAGCCTCAGGAAAAATTCTTTAACAAGGTGTCTCAAGCCATCGCACTCCAGCGAGGATGCAATTCCAGAGCCATGACCCATTAAACCCTCATCAGCAGTGAAAGCACGCAATACTGGGGCAATTCTAAAATCACACCGGATCCTGCAAGATGAGACCGAAGGACTGTCTGTAATACCCACTCTGTTTTCCTAATTAGGAGACTGCTCTTCATTTTGACATATGGCCCTGTCAGAATTAAGCGGCCATTTAATCAGCTGCTGATGGTGGCAGCAGCCATTTCCCTCAGACCTTTGTTTTATTTCCAGCTGCAGCCAGGGTAATTCGGATGCAGCCCCATCGCTCAGTTGGCATCGCGATGAATAAGGAAGTTAAGTGAGCCGTAAACAGAGTCAACAGTTGTTATTGATTTCTGTTGTGCCTGGTTGCAAGGTTCCAGGATCGGCATTTCAAAAATGATCCCGATGTCGTCGTCCTCCTCCTGCAGTGGTCAGCTCATAAGTGGAGTTTTGAGCACAAACTTGATGGCACTGGAGGTTTTTCAAATTGTTCATGAGAAACTCATGATGTTATCTACCCCTTCAAGGATCATAACATTGTCATAATCCTAGAGTACATTGCACTCCTTTGCCCGTCTGATCAGATTCTGATCAGACAGCTAGAACTGCTATGAAATTTTTTGGATTCCCATCTGATAGCTTCAGTTAGCCCACGGGACGCCGTGATGCTAATGGACCCAAGTGGCAAGATGAAGCGATATGGAAAGGCCTACACTTGCAGTTTCGGTTTCCCCGTCCTCTCGTTTTTCCTTCTACATGCCAAGTTAAGCAAATGCCAAAAGTTGTCATGTGTAGCTTGGGAATTCATTAAGGAACTTGACAAATGAGGAAATGAACAATTTGGGGGGAAAAAAATCAAAGAGAGGAAGCCCAAATTAATATGAAGAGAATTCGTACCAACCCCAAAAAAGTTATGAAATAGTTAAGGATAAAAATCAGTGACAGAATCAGGGGAAAAAGTTTCCGCTGGTAATGTGTAAAGGTCCTAGTGGCCTGTCGCCATGGTAACCAATCCCCACAGACAGATGACAACATTTAGTGCCATTCATTTAATAATTGGCTCCAACACCAAGTGGTACAAAAAATGCATTACCATTGACAAACACCATTATGTAAATTGACTTCCTCTTGCCAACGGTGTTCTCTTACTGTACTTTGAAGTAAAAGGTTTTTGCCATTAAAAGGCTGTGCATGGTAAACTTATGAAGCTGACAATGTAAATGGCACAGGGTTTGGACATTTCTGAGGGATCATATTTTCTTGACTGGAGGCTTGTCACGCACACAGTTTTTTCTGCCTAAGTGCTACTTTACTGTGAGATTGTTTCCCCGTTTTTTAAGAGTCCTTCTGTTTAGTATATGATGTCATAAAACAACTAACACGTGGCAGACCAGCAGCATCTGCGGCTGGCACAGACCGAACCTTTTCATTAAAACTTATGATCCTGTAAAGCTTCACCTATTTGCTGGACGTTTCATTAAAACCAAAAGTCCACTAATACATCATCCAGTGTGGATACTGGGTTCTTCTTTTGAGTGTTATCCTCCCTTTTTTCCCCCGTCAGTCGAACCGACATCTGTTTACACACCACGCACGGAGTTGCGTGTATTTTTTCCACTGCGCCGTCATTACAGTGTATACTTTCTACATCTGGGCCAGGCCCGCTTCATTTGTGGAGCCGGTAACTTCTACGGCCTGCGGACAGGCTACGTGTGTGTGAATCCAGCCACATGTACAGCCAACTCCTTCATTTTTTATGGAGTTTCCATTTTTGATCACCAGGGCTCCTCGGCCAGTTTCCAGTGGAAGTTTCTTCAGCTAAATTGTTTTTTTTTTTTTCCAATTTTTGTTCTCTTTTTCCGCCTTTCTGTTGTGTCTTTTACTGCACCATTGTTGCTTGTATCATTTTTTTTCTCTGCAAGACGTGATATCAATATGGTATTAGTCAGTAGTGCCTTATTTGTACGTTTCTTTCTATCAAAGGAAGGTACAATGTAAATGTAGAGATAAGAGTTATAGATATTTTTTCTCCATATATTACCAAATTTGGGGTTATAAACTCCTCTTGAAAAGGAGGTACGAAAATCAGTTGTTATATAAGAGCTTTAGGATGTCTCAGGAGTGTTTCTTGCAGCTTTTTCATTGGCTAAGTTAATCATCATTTTTCACTTCTGCTTGCCTTTGCTTTTTAAAACAAACAACTGACTGTACCAGTCGTCGCACTGCTTGGAATGCCTGATGTACGTGTACGTACATGTATATGTAGTGCAGTGTTGTTTTTTTTAATGAGACTTGCACTACGATGTGTCTGAAATTGCTTGTTCAATAATCAGGCATTATTTTTTTTCCATCAGCAAATGCATAGCACTCCTAATAGAAAAAGGTTCTTGTCTCTGAAAGCTCTCGGACGTGACAAGGACAATTGAGGTTTGTCCAATGTACATTTTTGAAAAAAAAAGTGAATTAAATATGAAGTACTTGTACAAATCATTTGCAGATGGAAAAGTGAAAAGCCTAGCTTTGTTAATTGCAACATGCATGACTTCCCATTTACAAGACAGTAATAGACTTATTCTTTTGACTGGCCTTGAATTAGGCATGTGGTTCCTTGTGAAACAATTTTACGACAGATTGCTGTCAATTTTGTCTTGTTATGAAAAGGCATTGTAAGATCGGTGCTCCCTGAGTGCTGACGAGAAAACGCCCCACAAATAAATGCTAGGGTGAGGCTCGAACCCATGACTGCCTGTCTGTGTGAAAAAAATGCCAGTTGACGGCTGAGTTTGTCGGTGTTATTTGGCTGGTTCTAATCAAATATAAATGTGAGGTGCACAGCATTTCCCAGAAAGATTTGAGAGTCATTACTTGAGATGGGTTTGCACTTTTAAAAAAAAAGGAAGTTGAGTTTGCCAAAGGAAAACGGAGGGATTGTCCTATAATCCCACCCAGCCTCCTACTTCAAAATCAATCACGTCGCACCACAGTCGTATTTTTAGTTTCTTGGATTCAGTTCAGCCTGAGAGGTCGCAGTACTTCAGTCCCAGACAAGATACTCTGTCCCAGGATTAAAATAGGTATTGGAGAGGATGGAGATGGTGACTGTGTTATGAAACCAATGGCACTTTCTACCGTAGCTGCTCACATGGACATGTACTCCCAAGATAGCTACCGGTAACATGGTCAGGGAATGTTCTGATGGCTGTGAAACACCATGCACTGTGACATTATGTACAATATTTTTACAAGAAAACCAAGACCTTGACTTCACTTTAAAGTGATGGGGGGAGGTATGGAGAAAGGCACTGAGATCCCTTGAACAAACCCCGCTGAGTTGACATGAGGGAAGCGGTATTACATTACAGTTTTTTGGTCAATATTTGTGCTATGGCGCTGAGAAGACAAACCTTGGGCTCTCTTAATAGGTTCACAGAGTTTGCTCAAAATGTAGCCTTCGTGTACACCAGAGGAAGCTTGCCCTCACTGTGGGTGTATGCGGTATGATTCCTAAGCAGCCCGCTGTCAGTTACTCTGCTCAGTCTGCTTTGCATGCATGTGTCAACTGTAGAAGGGACTAGCATGCTGATCTTTGACCTGGTTCGGTCCACTTTTATCATGGTGTAATGCCCAGGAAGTCGGTAACAGCAGTTGATTTAAATGCAGGGGAGGGTAGAACAGATCCTTGAGGTAGAAACAGACAGATTCATGTACATGTACATTCTTAAGGTCCATTGCACCTTGTTGTCACATGCAGCTGTGGTGCTGATCCAGTGGTCGGTAATGCCAGTCAGATTCTGTTGGTGGTGCAGACATTCGATGGGAGCTGTTTGATTTTGTTGGGCATCGGGTGGGTTCAGCCAGCTTTGTTGAATCTCATTCTGATAATTCTGTTGCATTCTACAAGCTGTTGCGCATGTTGGTCTCTGTTTCAGAGGGAAAAGTGAGGCTGAGTGAGCCTTCTCGTGTCACTCCACGTAATGTACATATACATGTACCGGTACAGTGGCATTACAGTATCTTCTTGATAAATAAGACCAGTAGGGCTATATATCTTGGGTGCATTCTCTTTGTTTTTTCTTGAAGATTAAAAAATAAACAATTGAAATTATGACAAGTTTCAGACTGTCATTTTGCACAGCTGCAGAGATGATTTGGGCAAATCTACTTGAAGTTGGCCAAATGCCCAGAACCTTTTGAGGGCTTCAAAAAGTGCCAAAATTAATCTTGAGAAGCCAAACTGTAAGCCAATGAGGGATGTGTCATCAGTTTGCTTCATCAACGATGCCCTGGGAATTGGGGCCCATGTCAAAGCCCAAGTTCCGGAGCAAAGTCTGTCCAGCAGTTGATCAGACAAAGCATGGACGATGCAAAGGTTCAGATGGCCCTTAATCTGCTGTCAGAAAGGTTCCTCTGCAATTTAAGGATGTATATCTACTTCTGAAACACTGAAAACTGGAAACTTCCCTTTTACTTAATTTTTTACAGGAAACTATGAGGCATAAGGAATTGTCATTGCAATGAAAATCTTCCCCACATGTTAACATTTCCTGGTTTTATTATTCATTCATTTCTTCTGCTTCTTTTCTTTTTCTTGCCAGTGTTGTCTGACCCCAAAGTTAACCTGGTTCCGGCCAAGATCGGGTTCCTCATTCTTGCTCACAACAATCCGGACGCAGTGGTGAGTGCCAAAGAAATGCTGTATCTTCAGATGCTTTGTTCTGTCCATATTAGTTTGTCAGCAGGGAAAGCACGTATGGTGTCCACGAGGCATGGACGGCAGTGAGAGCAAGAGAGACTTCCTTCAGGAACCATTTAAGGGAGCATCGGTGAATTTAACAATTGAGAAAGTCTTCAGTTATTCAATTTTGATTGGAGTCAACTTGAAGTCCAGATCTGATTGTGCTGTCCTCTAGCCTTTTGCCTTCAGGCTGTCCACAGTGTGGTCTGACCTTCATCATACGTCCCAACTACTAATGGTGATTAAGTGGTTTTAGAGAGACTGCGATTCTGTTAATGAACACTAATAAGGCAAGCGGTGACCATTAAGTGCCTCAAAGGAAGGTGGCTTTGTTTCAGGGTTACAGAACTGTAATTTTTGTTCTGTTCAGCTTAGTAAAACAAGAAACACCTTCTCACAAAGTGAAGTACATTGTGCCAGTTGTGAACCATGGTTTGTTGGTTTTTGCGTTTTAAATTGGGAGTGGGGGAGGTGGACATAAATTATTTTGAGTGTGGAGGGGCAATGTACAGGCGAAAATCCCTTTTCAGGACAGGACAGATCTCTCCATTGCATTCTCAGAACTGAATTTGTCATGAAATTTTGGGGGGTAATTTCCGCACTGTGACTCACAGGGCTTGTCACCCAATACATTACAAAACAAACTCGAGTAGATTCAGATGGAACAGTGAATCATGTAATGTAACTGCCCGAATTGCTCCCGAGTGGCTGACTCGTCTGGCTGCCAAAAACGGAACATGGCGTCTCGAGATAAGCTCAGTAAGGGGACCAGTTGAAAGGTTTGTGTGCATTTACCGGTATATGTATGGGCTTTTTTTCCCCGCCGAAAAAGAAGGTCCGCATTTATGAATGAACCAACCGCAGATTCCAGCCGCAACGCCCAAAGTGCTTGGGACAGCAGGATGCAGCAGTCTGCCCCGCTGGCAATGTGTGCCACCGCTCGGCATCATTAAAAATGGATTACTGGGAGCGTGTTTGCTGGGAAGGAAATCTCGGCGGGCCTTGGACTCTGCAGTAAATTAAATTGATCAGCATTGATATGATTGCTGGAAGATTCATGGGCTTTGCATGTGAGATGCATCTGTATAGAGTGGATTCAGAGCAGGGATTGCTTTTGCTCTGCTGTTCGGCAGTAAATTGAAATTGAACTGCTTTGATGGGCCTTGTGCGAAGCTTACTGGAACTGTCTTCTTCCTCGTTGAATCCATTTGGAAGAAGAAAACCTAAATGGCACGGCAGGCATGCTCTGTTCATAAAGGAAAAACCCCTTTTGTAATGCATTTCCGCGTAATAGCTGTGCTTGTACACCTTAACCCCAAGATGGATGTTTCCAAGAGTTTGCAAGAGTTTGAGTGAATTGCTAGACTTGGACACATTTTGAAAGTAATTTCTGTGCATTTTGTGAACAACCCGAAATATTAGTGAGCACTATTTCATTTCATAGATGATGATATTCTAAGAAATCCAAAGTTTCCAAGTTCTCTTCAAAAATTGCCCGAAAGGATTCCACAGTGTCAAACGAAGAGAGAGAGCTTCACTGAATCCTAGAAAATGGCAGGCCTTTTATTAGTGCATGTGAATGCCTTAAAGATATGTAAACTAAAAGAAAAACTGCTGGGAGATTTACAAATGCTGGCAGATTCTCAGTTCTCCCGTCAGATCCAGTGGACAGTGGAAAAATTCCCCCCAGTGCATCCAATAATCGCATCTTTCAATTGGCTGTAATGAATGGTCTGAAATTTGCATGCACCATCGATTCAAATCCACCTTCTCAAGTCAAGCTTGTTCAAAGCACCATTTTCCTACTTGTCATCATCTGTCTTTTCACTTCCTTAATTTTGGTCGGGGGGGGGGAAGAAGCTGCAGTGCAGTAGCTACATGAACATGTATCCGTGAAGAGGACATTGCATACAATATACTGAGGGCAGTCACCTCTTCAGCGAAAATCCCCGCCGGCCAAACAAGTTCATATCCTGGTCCAATGAAAATTTGTCGCAGATGGGGCGAAAATTGAAGTCAGATGGAACAGTGAGCGAAAGGAAGAACTCGCTAAAATGTTTTCTAGTTGAGCGAGGCTTGTTGGAATGTTGCCGGGGATTGTGATGTCATTTCAGTGTGTGCACAGATGAGAGTCTTTCGTATCAGTGCAGCTGGGAGATTGGGCTATTGGAAAGAGAAACAATTTGTTCACAGCTCATAAATAGCATGCAGACTCTAGGTACATGGCAAGCGGATTCTGTTTCGTGTGTGAGAACTGTACATATAACTCTGGTATTAATTTCAAGTAGAAAATCGACTATGCGTCTGAACGATTTTATATATTAGCATTTCCCTTCTGCATTTTCGGTGACACTTTTAATCAGGGATGTGAGAATTTAGCTTCGTAGCTGATTTCAGCTTTTTTTGTTTAGATGTTGATCTTGAATTTCAGCTTTTTTGCACACTTGGCCTATACAAAAGTACATGTATGGGAACTTTTTACATTTCAGCTGTTTGCTAGCTGTTTTCAGCTTTAATTTCAAGTGGCCACTCACACCCCCATTTAATGAAAGGTTTTCCCTTTCTTTAATCATTGAAAATTTGTGCGGTGAATCAAAGGCAGAATTTTGACTCGCAGTTGGAATCGGAATTCATTTCTAACAATTCGAACAAGTCGCCATCGTCGAATACCGGGCTTGTGAGTTGTATTTCATTGCATTCATTGCATTGTTGCTTTAATAGCCAATGGCCTGCCACACGTCCACCTTTATGTATGTCTGCCCGCCCAACATATCCACCGACAGCTTATAGTTCAGAGGTCTGAAGCATATGTGCAGAATGTGTAATGCATACATGTACCTGCCTGGCGAAAGCATCAGCTTCTCTTGAATTAGAACATCGAACATTAGTTTCGATCTCCTCACAATCCAAGCTAATGGGCCCCATGGGATCGGCAGGAGGACATGAAGCCCATGGAAAGAAAGAAAACTAGAACCATGATCAATTATGTTCAAGTTCGGGGGTTACTTTATTGAGCATGCTAGGTGTAAGGCTCCAGGGTGGCTCCAGGGTAGCTCCAGGGTAGCTCTAGAATTCTTAAAGAGCTTTGGAAAAATGGTCTGTGCGTAATGAGGGTTTCTGTTTCGGGCTCAGATATGTACATGTGCTTCAGAAGATATTTATGAAAGCTTTGAGTTAAAAAAAGCTTACCCTGCCATTTGATATTTTTTCCCTGAATAGCATGATCAGCCAACTCCGAAATGGAAAGGGACAATGCTACTTAGTTGGGAGAAAAAACGGATTGATTGTGAGAAGCCACTTCAAGTTTGTCCAACTTGAAAAAAGGCTAGGAAAGTGTCCCTAGGTTTGGGCAGTGCTGCTTGACAATTGGAACCAAAGTGATCCTGAACTCAGGTGCAGCCGAGAGAAGTTGTATCTTCAGCCACTGCCTCGTCTGTCACCCGCTGCCTCGTCTGTCACCCTCTGCACTGATTATGACATTCATAATGACAGCAAATGTATCCTTGGCCATGACATAAACTTACTCTGTAGCAGGCATAAACTTTCATTCACGGTATAACATTTATTCATGGTAAATCAAAGAGGTCGCCGTGAGAAAACATTGCTGCTCTGCCGGTATTTTTCACAGTCTGGCAATCCTATTCTGTGCCCAAGTAGGAAAATAACAAGCTGTAAATCATTTATACCCCTTCTGACAGTGGTCTCAGAGTTGTAATAATGATGTCAAAAATGGTCTCTGCAGTCTCTGCAAACTCATTTCCCGGAACTGAAGCCTTCCGAAATGTGTGCTGGGATTTAGGCCTATGTGTACTGGTACTTGTCAGGACAGCTTACAGTCAGAAAAGTGTTGATCCAGGGATGTATGTCCACGATTCTCCTTATCTCCCCTCATCAAAAACTGGGCCCCAAAACACAACAGTTTTGGAATGAGCAAACACAGGCTACAACCTTTGCAACATAATCCAGGTGACTAGAGTTTTTCATCACCTTGGCAATGATGATGTAGAGGCGATGGTTTGGTACGGGATGCTCTTTTCAGGTACCTGAAGGTAATCTGGGATGTTAGTGTTGTGCCTGCAGACTTGTGCAAACCGGGCCACTTCAAGACGGAGCAGACTCCTGTATAACCTCTACTTCGGTGTTTTATGCCGAGTTGCAAATCTTCACACCGACACGCGTCTTGCTGGCATGATTGAAGCAGTGGTGTGAATTTGCAGGCACGTGAAGGCTTAACACCTTGATTTATGTGTTGGATATATTCCCAACAAATCCGTAGGTGATATGCCCCAGCACCAGCACTGGTCGAGAAGAGCTACCGCATATCACCTTGCTCATTTTGTGGAGAAGGAGATATTTCTGCAATCGTTCGAGCAAGCACCTGAAGACATTTGACACTTAAAGGTCCACAGTGAAGAGAAAAATCTTAAATAGACTTTCGAAAAGGAAGAACAGAGGTGAAATCCCTGTGTAGTCTTAAAATGTCCCCCCTAAAAAAAACAGGACAAAACTAGACAATTGGTTCTCAATTCAAACATTTATTTCAACCAAGAGCAATAAAATACATGTACAAGGCCATGTGGCAAAGTGAAAAGGTTCAAATTGCCCCATCTGGAGCTAAGGGAGGGAATAAAGGCGCCTGTTGTGACTGCAGATCTGTCTAGCGCAAGAAATACTGCATGCCAATGTATGTCCACAGGGGCAGGACTAAGGCTGAAAACGACGCTTCCATCTATGGTAGCCACTTGCTGGCAGCTGTCAGTCACTTCTCATAGACACTTGTGTTGCCCCCCAGCCACATCCAAATGATTCAGACACAGCCCCAGTTTTGCCCAGCAAGAGGTGGTTTAACCAGCCCAAATTCAGTGTAATTTAGACAGCCTTTGATATGTCTCAACTTACTACTTTTATTATTTGCCAGGCAATACGTTCTCCTTACCAGCTTTGTGAAGTAGGGATTTGAATTGGACCCTCTGTCAGTGCTTCCAGCCTTCTTCCCCGGCTTCTGAGACCTTTTTTATTGAGGGTTTGCTCAATGAGCAGATATTGCTTAGGCTGGGGATTCCACCGTTCTTGGTAGTTTCCTACTCTTCCCAAAATTCCTTCCAACTTGAGGCGTTATCCAGCTCCCGTCAGCTCTCTGACAGAGAATGTTTGCCCTCACTCCAGCCCTGTCATGTGGTACAACCAGGCAATCCAATAATGACATAATGTGGTAATGACACATGAAAACAACAGGCCATTGCACTGCCATTGGCCGTCGGCATTCGGAGAAATTCCTCAGGGATTCCTGGCTGTCGCTTCAATTTATGGCTGCCACGCTCGACTTGGACAAGTGAAAATAACCCTTGAACGCTGTTCTGTCGTCGGTGTTTACGCCGTACGTCAGCCATGAGGAGAGGCAAGCCTTCCAACGATGAAATCAGCTGGCATGACCAACCCCCCGTTGTCATGGCATGCGTGCATTTGGTCAAGATGATCGCGTTAATTCTCATGTTCTGTCAACCTGCCTGTCTTTAAGCATTACGATAACTGACGCAATTCCCTTCTCCCCATAGAAGTTGCACCTTTGCAGGTTTCGCTTGAAGCAGCTCACAGTTGTTCTATGTAGTCAATGCAGTACAAACAAACGAGGCCAGCCCGAAACAGGAAGGCAGATCACAGGTCAAATAGTCTAGAAATATTAAATACCTCAGAATTACAAGGTATCAGCCTCATGGTTTCAATTTATTCTTGGAAGTGTAAATCGATTGTATCAATTCTTGATTTACAAAGGGTGCTTTGATATGAAGAATTAGGTCCTATTGATAACTGTTTCCTGGAATGGTTACCCCCTGAGTAAATGTGACTTTTAGTGGATCAACACAGTGATAGCAATCTCTTGACAAAGTGTTTCCCATTTTTTTTCACCTGTTCATTCCCGAAAGTTCTTTATGTTCTTGAATCAGAAAATGAGCAGAAAAATTAACGAAAATCAAGAAAAATATTGAATCCCTGAAATTCTTTGTTACACATCAGTGGAGTATCCCTTAGGGGTAGGGATAGGCTGTCAGTTTTGGTTCGGGTTTTGAAAGTACCAGTGTATGTCAGAAACCATACTGCCCAGTGGCATAGCTGGGGGGGACACGTGCCCCCCCACAAATTACCAGTGTCCCCCCCAAGTGCCCCCCTCTAAAAAAAAGGGATAAATGGATATTGAACTAGGCTAACAATAGCTTGCCCCCCAAAAACACCATGAAAGCTGGTGTCCCCCCCCATAAGATGCTGGTGCCCCCTTGTGCCCCCCACCAGTAAAATCCTAGCTACACCACTGATACCTCCCCCCCAATCCAGAAGCATACATACTGGTAGGCATAGAAACCTGGAAACGTCTGACCAGTTTCATAGCCATGGAGCCCTTGTTGTGGTTTTAAAGGATAGGCCATATTTTTTTAACATTGGCTCCATTTATATCTTCAACTCTAACCCCCTCCCAAACTTCCTAGGTCAGCTCTTTCACCACAGGAATGCCAAAAGGATGTGATACTGTAAAGCCAAAAGATCGGTCTTCCATTTGGTCAAACAGTGAAAAAAAAAGGTGTTTGGGCCCAAGATTACGGAAGCGTATATAGGACATGACTGAAAAAAAATGGGCCTGCTATTTTGCCCGGGCGGATTAGTATTTCGCCCAAGCAGATTAGAATTTTGCCTGGGCGGATTACTATTTCGCCCAAGCAGATTCGAATTTTGCCTGGGCGGATTACTAATTACTGATTACTAATCCGCCCTGGCGAAATAGTAGGCACAGATCTTTTTTTCAGTCATGTCCTATATACGCTTTCGTACAAGATGAAGCTAAACCTGAAGACAAACTTGAGTTTTGGGAAACGTCCAGAAGCAGAGCCAGATACAAAGGCTTAGGGTAGCAGTCATGAGCACGATGCAGTTGCCATGGGTGACGCTTGAGCAACCACCGAGGACTTGACTCTCATCCTAATGAACTGGAGGATTTAGACCAGCTGATCCTGATATAGGCTTGTGCTGACAGATAGAATGCTTGGGGAAAGACTGTTTTAATGACGCTTTCTTAACTTTGCTTTCAACATGGCAGTGAATTGTCTCCCTCTCTCAATAACCGACTGTAGCACAGAGAGACATAATGCCTCCCCCCAAAAAAGGACAAGGGTAGAGAAGAGAAAAAGAAACTTAGCTGTAAAAATGTCAATGCGCAATGTTCACAGACCAATCTAAGCATGGGATAGTGTACTGTGCTCTCATACAACTCTGCACTAATTGCAGAAGCAGTGTGTCGGCCGTTGTAAATTATCGGCAACTGCCCTACCTGTGAAGCATTAAATGTTCCAGGCTGGTTGTCATTGGTTATTTGGAAGGGGAAATCTGTCTGTTTTAAAAAAATGTGCTGTTTTCTGCTTTGTTTCATACCTCTTTTTCTCTTTGGTCTGAAAGGGCCTTTCCTGTGTCTTTTTGTGACCTTTTCACTAGAATGATCTGGTTTTCTAGCTTATTAAGCTTCTGGTACTTTTATCTCTTTCCCATCAAAAATGGATGAATAAGTAATGTAACCCTCATCAAACACCATATGGAAAATGCATTTAATGGAAGTCAGGGCTGGATATTGGAAAACAAAAATTCGGCAAACTCCATCTGTTGGTAAATTGCCAGTTACAGTCAACAGACAACCACCATATCTGCCAGATGTACATGTACAACAGTTCTCATTCAAGTGTATTTGCTCTGCTCAAACAGCATCTGTATACACATGGCAAACTGTACATTGCCTCTTTTTTACTGTTTGAAAGAAGCAGGCCCTTTTTTTTTTGGATGATGGCTGTACGGACAAATATTCTATGCAATTTTAATTTCGTCAGTTGATATGTCCATATGTTATTCCTATTTGTAATGTGATGCCGTCGGTTGATATTACTCGTGTATTTTTTTAACCTGCAGTGCACTTTTGCCAAAAGCACTTCCACGGGAAGGGCGAAAGGGCTGAATATTTATTGGGTTCTTCTGTCTTTCTGGTGAACAAAAATCCTGGAATTGTCCACTGAAATACCTCTTTGATTCACATGCACAAAGTCTAAGTGAAGTTTTGCTCTATGAATTTTTTTATCACTATTCACTCATGTTGTGTAGGAGATTTGCTACAAACAAGCTTCAAGCAAGTAGGATAAAAGATCAAACGATCTCGCAAAACTCAAAAACATTCCTTCCTTTTTCAACCTAAAATCCACCCAAATGTGACACCTACAAATGTAGTTTGTGCAGAATTTTGATGAAGTCTGCGCTGTTCTGCTCAGCCTCCATCAGCGTACACTGTCCCTGATGTCCAATCTTTTTTGACGAGTGCACAGAATGTTTATTGGATCACTGCGACTCCTGTCTGTTTATATTTTCAGCTCACAGCCTCCAAATCTCATTCACTTTTTCTCCTTTCTCGGCAGGAGCAATTGCTGAAGGCCGTCTACCGACCGTACTTTTTCTACGTCATCCACGTAGACCAGAGGGCAGACGAAGTCAGACAGGTAAATCTGGATAAGTGCCACTCTGAATATTCAGTGGCAAATCAGCGCCACCTGCACTTCAAGAAGTTTCCAGTTTCTTGTCTGATACAAACATTGTGGCATATTCGTTCATTCTTGTGATATTTTACATTTTTGGTTTTGTTCTGGCATTCGATATCCTGAAGGTGATAGATTCTTGTTAGTATACAATCTCTACAGATGCTGACATCAGCTAATGAAATGATAATGGTATTTCAATAGAAGGCCAGAAAGTTTGTCCACCTTTGTGGAGTGCTCTATTTTTAAAGCGTTAAAACTTTCCTCTTATCATTTACTCCCGGTAACTTTATGCTCACATTTCAGGCGCTCAGGGAGAAAGCAGAGCAAATTGGGTTTTCCCATCAGAACATCCGAGTTCTTCCAAAGGAGCGCTCGTTTGTGGCCTCCTGGGGCTCCTACGAAATCGTCCGAGCTGAATTGGAAGTAAGTGTGGCGGCAATTTTCACCTTCACTGCCCCGAAACCTTCTGCTTACAGTTATCCTGCCTCACAGGAAATTTTTGGGAGATATCCCCCGGGGTATGATTACTGTAAGTCTCTTCAACAGTACGTTTTATCTGCTGCTTCTGTTGCAAGTGCTTAGAGGCTGGTTCATAGTTCCAGGGGATAAGAAGTGAATTGGATATCACAAAGTGTTGATAGCGTAATTTGCCCACGCGGCTTGCCATAACACAAGTGAGTTCCCGTTCATGTTCACATTAGCCTGAAGTGTGAACTCATTGTTGCCTGCCACATCTGAACCATATCTATTCCATGAAGATCTGTAGACTTTCCAAAGTAATGATCTCTGTTGGCTGTCCATTGTACTCCTGTCCAAGTCTAAATTTTATTTTATTGACGGGAGTCACATTTTTGTGTCAGTCAGGCAGACAAATGCCGCTGAGAAATACACCATACCAGGGTAATATCAGATATTAGGGGTCCATTTTTTCGTGTCCCTTTCACATCCAACATATGATTTTGTTAGTTCTGAACACATTTTCTAATTTCAAAGAGTGATGAATTAATGCAAATTACCTGCAAAACAACCAGTAATAGTTTGAAATCAATTCTGGTGATACATGCATTGCCATGTCAAATGACAAAGGTCCGATGCAAAAGGGACACAAAAATGTCACAGTTTTGGGTCCCAAATTTCTGGAATTACCCACCACTCACGTTTGCCCCTTGGACTCATAAGTGAACTTCATGTATGGTACCGGTAGCCTTGTGCAGAATCGGTGGCTGCTCGTGACTCTGGAGTCTTGTGGGTGGAGAGGCGGCACTTTTTTGTACAGTGACTTGTTTGGGCAATACATTGCGTACATTCGCCAGTTTGTGCGGTTGTGTTGCAGGGCATGTGCCACCGAAATCTGTAGGAATGTACGGCCTTTGTGTGTATGCGCGCACCTGGCCAATATTGGCTCTCTTTCCTGCCTTGGAGGGGTTGCTTGAGCAGAGTTTATGAAGACAAGCAGTAACAAGCAGAGGAAGTTTCTGAGCAAGCGCCATGCTTGCGCTCAGGTCACTTGCAACCCACTCCAGGCTTCTCTTGACCATTTATCGTTCAACTGGTCGGTAGGTGACCACGAATTTCTGCCGACTGCAATCTCCAGAAAGCTGGATGAGTGTTCTTGGTTGGCCCACATGTTCCTTGCCCCGGTGACCAATAGCGAGTTGAAAAACTTGCCAAAATGTATAAACTGCAGCGCAGGAACTTTGTTCTTGAAAGGGCAAGGCAATGTCTCATTTGCAAAGGGCACTTGTATTAGAAACTCAACTTGTGTATGGGGACATTTGGTGGACGTTGAGGCAAAGACCAGCGGCATCAAGGCAATTGCCTCCGATGCCTCCAATGAAGTTCTGTTCCGAAATGTCAAGAAGAGGCACGTGCGTGACCTGCCCGGGAGTGCGCTAAGAAGTTCTTATTGCACATGTAAATGAGGAACAAATCTACGATGAACTTGTTGAGTTTCATCCTTCAGATCTTCCCGTGGGCTGCTTAAATGTAGCATAACATGTAATCTGCCCTGGGAATGTGTAAGGACAAAATTGCAATCTGAAGCCCCGGGCCTGAGGTTGTCGTGAATTTTCAAAAAGACAGTTTCATTGGCCTTTTCCATGTAAAGTATTAAGTTCATAAAACTCGAAGTCAACAGCCTCCATGATAGCTTCCCGAGAATCTCCATTTTAATTCTTCTGTCATTGTCGTCACAAATTAACTCTGCTTAGTCGAGCGTCCGGTACTGCGAGGGGCCAAACCATTTTTATCTCGTTTCATTTTCCTGTCCATTTTTCTACCTCTCCAAATTGATCCATCATTCCAAATGACTCCCCCAATCTGACATGATTTCCCTGCAGTGTGTGCATGCCCGGGGCTATTCACCCATCAGGGTGCCCATGAATTTACTCTCGTATAATTCAATTGACTGTTTTCTCCTGATCAGTTAGTTGAAAGGAGCAAGGAGAAGAGAATCTGTGAGGAGATTCTAAATTGCACGAAGTTCTTCCTTTAAATTAAACTGTTCCCTCGCAGCGGCACGGCACATAATATAAAGGTTCCCCTCCGGCAGAATGCAATTGCACAGCTTCATGCGCTAGTGCAGAACTGCTTTTGAAGTTAGTCTTCAGTGACATTTGATGGACCCTGAGGAATTCTTATCCTGTATGCACAAGACCATTTTGTATACACTCCCTGGTAAACATGTGATAGGACATTTTTATTTTATCGGCAGACGACACCCAATACGTACAAGTTTCATGGAAGAGATGGTGTAAGGGCGTCCATTGTTAATTCTGTGGTTTTCATATTGTTTTGACCTTTAAGGAGGGTCGGTCTAAGGGAATAAGGAGGTTAAAGAGTTACTTCTTTGTTCCCAGATATTCTCATAATTATTTCATTTTTTTTTTTTAGTAGGAAATTCCAGACGGGGTTGGCGATATTAAAACAATTTTTTTTTTTCGTGGTCAATATCGGTCAGTCTAACATGAGAACCATGGAATTCCTCGGCCTCTAAAGCGATGTTGGTATCAGAAGTTGGTTCTGGATGTTTCCCATCGTAGTCTTCGACAGGACTTACCTAGGGTTGGTGGCATGGTTAGAGGAACTGCTTGATGTAAGGTAGTCAATCGTTCCTTTAAATCACATTCTCCAACATTTGCCTTTGGCTAAACTGTAGAGTTCTTTCTCGTCCAGAATGAGGGGTGCAATAGACCTTTCCCATGAAATATGCAAATTAGACAGGCACATGTGCGCCACCACCACTGGTTGGCAAGCGTGTCCGTCAACATTGTTGGCAGTGCATATTCGTAGGAGAGCTGTTGTAACTGTAACCTGGCGTGTTGAAGGTCAATCAAAACTTTATTATGGCCTTTGTCCAATACCGCTGCATGCTTTTTTCAAAACTAAGTGAAGTTTTCAGTGTCCTGAGGTTGGAAAGTAACAATTCCTTGTCTTTAAGTTTGGCATTTATGTCAAACTAGTACGGAAACAGCATGCACATGTATGTGCTCATAGTTGTGCGCGAATGGAGGTTTGTATTGTTCTGTCATCAAAGCAAAGCAACTTTGCCAACCAGTGGTATATGCGCATGCACCTTTCTATTTGCATATTTCATGGGAAAGGTCCATTGTAAATGTAGCTGGGAATGGATGGCATTTACCGTTTATTTAAGAAGCTGTTTCTTTAGGTATTACAGAAGTCTGCAACGGAACTTTGCCATGCTCAGTCCAACTTGTTTAGTTTCAAGAACAAGAGAAAAGTTTGGACACCACCATGTAATCAGTTCTTCTTTTCTGTAAAAAAAAAAGCTTGGTTTGTAAAAAAAAAATTGTGTGAAACAACAGTGCAGAGAATTAATTGGAAAAAGTCATCTTGGTATAGCATGGCCACGCTGCGTCGTCAAAGATGAACCTGCAGGACCCGATACTCAGGCGTGGCTGTGAAAAAAGTAGGATTGCTTATCAAGAGGAAAGGGTCAAGTGTTTACGTCAGTGACTAGTTAGTACCATCCTTCCTGTTCAATCCGCATCCGCCATTGAATGGAATAAATATTCTAATTTAGGCCTCTGCAAGCCACGGTGACTGTTTTAAAATCTGGGACACATGCACAACTTTACCGAACAAGCACCCCCCCCAGAAAAAAGGGAAGGGGGGATGAATTGCCACTTGGGAAGCACCTGATTACCCCCCCCCCCTTCCCCACTGCCCCTTGGGTAGTGGCGGAGTTGCAATATTCCAATTTAGGAAGCACCTGCTCTACCTCCCTTCCCCACTCCCCCCTAGGGCAGTGGTGGACCTGCAAAGGGTGCCAGAGAGCTTGGGGAGACTTGGCCAGATGTGGCTATTAGGCAAAGAGCTGGTGCAATAGATCATGCCGGAAAGTCTCAGTCATTTCCCGGGAGAAGAAATACAACACGGACCTTCCTTGTTTGGAAAAAAAAAAAGTTGATACCATTTGTAGACAAGTATATCATGTGACCCCGGTGTTTGGTGGAGCCTTCTCAGCGGGGTGTATGTGCCTTGTGGCAGACAACGAGGCCAACACTTGGAGAAGACAAATTGTGGAATTTTTTCCCTGGCTAATTTCCAATTTTTTTTCCCTTCGTGAGATGAAAAATAGGCCAGCTTGTTCTGACGACACATCAATAATAATGCCAAAAAAGGGGAAAAAATGAATGCCCGAAAACGCACCAGCCTTAGTCCCATTGTGGATTATTGGGCTGCAGGGAATATTGAACCAGTTTCCGAAACTTTGAAATTGGGCTGCCGAAAAACAGGAGCAATTCTTAAATATTCATTGGAAGAAAGCTTTCACCGGTATCGAGTCCGGCTCCGAACTTGATACCAAGAGTAAAATTGTGTTCCCATCTGCCCCCAAGACACTGCTTTGAAAATACCTCGTCACTCTTGTTTGGGGGGGAAGGGGCGTGGATCCTGCACTGTCTGCACGCAACCAAAGGCCAAAGGCAAACGCACTGAGATACATAGCCGGAGAATTTCCATTAGGCATTAAAGCCCGGGTAAGTTTGTTCAGGTTTCTCAGGGAAAGGCTGATGAATATGCATGGGGATCAGACAGAGTACCCGCAGCACTCAGTGGTCAAGTGCCGGTGAGCGGTTGTGTTTTTTTCCCCCCAATCCCCAGGGTAGGTGGAACGTTGAAACTTTGACACGGATGAGTGCATTCGTTAACTCGACATCATGAGGCACGTCTAGAAGAACAGACAGCTTCAGGAGTGCGAGGGGTTGTCCAAGAGCATGTGAGGTTTTCCAAATGTCTGAGACCATCACCTCTTGCATCAGTCTGAAAAGAACTCAATTATACCAGACAGTGTGCAGAGATTTGGAAGGGAGAGTTATTATATTTATTCTGCACCAGTCACTGTCTGTCAGTCAACTCCCTTTGTCTAATATTTCCTGCCATGTGAAGACGTGGCATGCTTC